TATATATATATATATATATATATATATATATATATATATATATATTAGGCATGTGACTCATGAATATAATCAGCCATCTCAAGAGGCAGGAACAGACACTAAAAAGACAATAGAATCTCAAATACTCAGCTATTATATTTCTGCTAATCTTTTTAAGTTGATAGAAAATTACCTAATGAAAGATAAATGTAGCAGTAATTTCTTAAATAACAATCTAAGGATTTGATTTATTTAGGAAAAGCAACGGGGTACTCCTGTAGGTTTTTAATGTATTTAAGTAGGTGACTGGTGGGATGGAAATTGTACGTTTTGGGAGAACTGAGCAGCAATGAGCAAAGAAAATTGCCCTTGACTGTGTCTGGAAACCAACAGCATCTTGGGTAGGTTGCATTCTGAGAAATTAGACTAAACAATATACATCTCTCATTTACAATAACGTTGCGTAATCCCTAATGCACGAAGAATTGTTTACAGGAACTCAGTATAAGAGTCTAAGCGCACCTGATGTCTCTCTTATCAGATGACATGATTAATGGTGTCTTCTTGAGAGTGGCCGCAGCTACTGCCTGTAACATGCTTCCGAAATCCTAATGCTATTTCAGAGATGCAGTCAGATGATTGCACTCTGAGCCAAGAATTAGAAAAGATAAGGCCGTGATTGAATGATTTTAAATAACACATTTCATCCAGATTAGTTGTTATGCAACTAGTCACTTCCTCGGTGCCTTTTGTACCCATCATTCTGTTTTCTTCTTTTCCAGGAAATCCATTAATTTTTAAACATGGTTTACTTTTATATGCTATGTAGTATCTGGGATAACTCATCATTTTGTGCAAAGAAAAGAGACCTCTTTTGCAACATTAAATGGTGTCTGGTTTGGAAATACGAAATGAATAGTATCTGTTTTACAGTCGGAAATTACAAATGTCCTCCTGTTTCCTAGTTGTCTTTTCTCCTAAACAGCCCTACCTCTTAAAAAAAAAAAAAAAGATTTTAAAAAAATCTGGGCACAGGGGTCTTTTCTGAGACTGATACTCCAACCAAGGACCATTCACGGAAATAACCTAGAACCCCTGCTTGGATGTAGCCCATGGCAGCTCAGGGTCCAAGTGGGTTTCCTAGTAAGGGGAACAGGAACTGTCTCTGACATGAACTCAGTTGCTGGCTCTTTGATCACCCTCCCTGAGGGGGAGCAGCCTTGCCAGGCCACAGAGGAAGACAATGCAGCCAATCCTGATGAGACCTGATAGGCTAGGGTCAGATGGAAGGGGCTCCAAGTCCCTTATCAGTAGACTTGGATATT